GGTGATCGCTACGGTGGTTTCGGTCGGTGTGTTCGGTCGCAGATGGCGGTCAGTTTGTGTATACGCTGGGGTGAGCCTGTGCTAAAAGGTACAGTACACGATGTCAAAGCTAAGATATACCGTCGCTGAGCAGGCCCGTGCGCGACCATCCGCCGCTATGTCCGAACGTCCTCGATCATCTCTCCTCCCGTCCCTGGGCCGTATTGACCCTATCGCCTCCGCGTGCAGTCGTGGTCGAGGCCGAGATCCGTAGTTGCGATCCTGGTGAATAGGGGGTGCCGACGTGACAGAGAGGGGCTGGCGTCGTGATCCGGCGTCGAGGGCCAAGGAGGGGGAGTCGTCGAGGTCGTCGAGGTGGGAGATAAGAGCCCACCGCACCGCCACCGGGCGTTGGGTTGGCGAACAACCCGTGTGCGGGCGCGCGGAGTGCCGGGGCGTTACATCTCCCCCCAACAAGGAGATAGTGACCCTCCTGGGTCACTACGGGGTGCGGAGATGAGGCAGGAGTACCGGGCGACGGCGACGGCAGAGGCGGCGGGGGCGGCGGGGCATTGTGATGTACGGTAGGAGAATAGAATGAGACCTGGTTCTGGGAGGGCATGATGACGAACGGGTGTCAGTGCGAGGGCTGGAAGGCACACTCCATGCACAAGTGACGGCATCATTGGGTGCCGAAGCGCCCTCAGCGAGAGCCCGAACGAGCACAGCCAGGAAGTGATGGGTGAGACGGATATGGAGAGCAAGAACCGACGAACGGTTGTGAGGAAAAAATTTGTGTGTGCGAACGCGAGGCGGCAACGGCGAAGACGTCGTCCGTGCGCGCCGGGTATATAGGTTTGGTCGCCGAGGTGTCCAAGTCGGGCGGTAGTTCCTCGACGGTGTCGTCTGTCGTGGCGGCGTTGAGGTCGTTGACGGAGAGTCCGGTGAGGTGTGAGATATCGACTTCAATGCGGGAGCGGGCACGGTAAGGTACCAGGCGAGCGGCAGCGTAGCGGAGACGCGAGAGAGAGCCGTCGAGCTCAGCGAGGGCGTAGGCGCCGCCGGTGTTGCGTCGTACGACGACCATTGGGCCAAGATACCGTGGGTTGGTTTTCCCCGAGAGGTTCTTGTCGTTGTCGGAGTTGCGGACGAGGACGAGGTCGCCGGGTTGGAAGTCGTGGTCGACAATCTTGGCCGCGTTGCGAGTGACGGAGCGGGTGGTCGATGCGACACGCGAGGCGAAGACGCGGTCGCGCAGCCCTTCAAGATCGGTGTCGCGCTTTTGAAGAGCACGAGCGCGGGCGGCAAGGAGGTCGGTAGTGGAAGCCGGCGGGGCGTCTGTGGGGTAGTTGACGAGCCATGTGGCTTCCTCGAGGTCGAAGGGTAGGACGGGTTCGACACCGTGGGCCATGTAGAAGGGTGAATGACCCGTTGCTCGCTGTACTGTAACACGTTCAGCCCAAAAGACGTGGTGCGCGTACTTATACCAGTGGGCGACATCCTCCCCGGCTGTCTTGACGATGGCTTCCCGGACATCGAAGTGCCGGCGTTCGACGAGGTTGGCGCGTGAGTTGTAGGGCGAAATCCGGATGCGGTGGACGCCGTACTTGCTTGCAAGCCAGGCGGTCGCGGCGACGAACTGGGGGCCGTTGTCAGTCACGATCTCCTCAACGCCGCCCCACCGGCAGAGGACATCCTCGAAAAGCCATCGACCAATCTGTTCAGCGTTCTCGACGCGAAGCGCGCGCCACTCCGGCCAACCGGTGAGGGAGCAGCGGCCGTGTACAATGTACTTGTACTTATTCGCGGGTGGCATGTGCATCGTATCGCAGTAAATCTTGCGAAAGAGCGGCGCGGGGTACGCGACCGTCGGCGGAATCGTGACGTGGTGAGTTCGGCGGCGTTGGCATTCGAGGCAGGTGTCGTCAAACCAATTGACGTCGGTATCGAGGTGCGGCCACCAAAACCGAAGCAGGAGGTGCCGCCGAGTGGCGAACTTGCCCTTGTGGCCAAGTGCGTCGTGCGCTTGCTGTAGTAGCGACAGACGGCGGGTCGGCTCGAAGATGACGAGTTGGTGCGCACCATCGGTGCTGCGTCGCCAAAGCCGGTCGTCAAAGAGGAAGAAGTCGTGGGCGTACCGCACGAAACCTTGGAGCTGACCGGGTTCAACGGGCAAGGGTGCTAGCGGATTGCGGAGGTACGTGTCGACAAGCCGAACGCGAGCATCGGCGGCGGAGGCCTTGTCATCTCGTGGTGGTAGAGGCAGCAGCGGCGAAGCGAGTTGTACGGCCGATTCGAAGGTACCGTCGACTGCGAAAGCGCAAGCGGTAGGTGGTGCGCAGACTGGAGTTAGTGAGCGGTGGTGAGTGTAGAATCCGTAGGCATGGTCGATCCACTCGTTTGCAGCGTCAGCGGTGTCCAGAGACTCGTGTGAAGCAGGAAGGCGCCGTGAGAGGCCGTCGGGTCCTCTGTGGGAGGTAGCGGGAACGTGGACGAGTTGGAAGTCGAAGAGCTTGATTGCGGCGATCCAGCGGTTGATCGTGGCGTTCGGCTGGAGGTCGGGATTGTTGAGCATTCCCCTGATGCTGGAGGCGTCAACTTCAACGACGAGGTGCCGGATGCCGACGAGGTGAATTCGCTCTTCGTGCAGCGCGCGGAAAAGGCCGTATAACTCGATCTTCGGCTGGCTATAGCGCGACTCGCGCTCGTTCCAAGGGATGGACCCAAACCGTGCAGGGTAGCGTCGTCCGTCTGTACCGAGCTGAGAAAGGACGTAACCGACCGCGATGATGGAAGAATCAACAGAGAGATAAACTTCCCGGTCGCACGAGTAGTCGATGGGCCGCAGCGCGGCCGACGTTGCAAAAGCGCGTTTCAGCGCGTCCATCGAACCTTGCTGATCGGTGCCCCACTCGAATGCCGAGTCCTTGCGAGTAAGACGGACGAGCGGCCGGGCAATGCGGGCGAAGTCTTTGATGAAAACCCGCATGACGCCGCAGGTACCAAGGAATGAGCGAACGTCAGTGAGCGAGGAGCAAGGCGGCCAATCGGTGATGGCGCGAATGCGAGATTGGTCAGGTATTCGACCGTCGTACGAGCAAAGATTGCCGACGAGTTCGACTTGTGGAGCACATAGGGTGGACTTCAGGCCGGAGAAGGTCCCGCCGAAGGCTCCCATGCGATGGAGAATCCTATGCATGGTTGTCAGATGTTCGAAGACGAAGCGGCGGATACCTGAGTTTTCGGGTATGGTCTCGAACGAGCCGTCCGGAAGTTCGTAGCGCGTACGGGGCCCCTTGACAGGTACGTCGTCGATATACGGTGTGGTGAATTCCGGGATCTCGTCTTGAAGAATGAACGTCACGTCGCCCTGCATGATTTGCGCCGCGTTGGTGTAGCCCATCGGAATCGAGGTCAGTCGGAAGGTCCCGAGTGGCGTCTGAAAGGTGGTATAGTCGCGTGAGCGGGAATCTAGCGAGCGCTGGTCAAAGGCAACGAAGAGGTCAAGCACGCCGTAGCATGCGCGGCAAGCGAAATCCTCGGCCATTTGATCCATGTTCGGCGGGACGGCGGCATCACGAATGGTGACGGCGTTGAGCGGTTGCAGATCGTGGACGAGCCGGAGCGATGTGCCATCCTTTTTGAGTACGCAGAACCACGCCGAGCGGTACGACGAGTTGGAGGGTTCGTAGGTCCCGGAAGCGATCTTCGACTTGATGATCTCGATGACGCGATCACGGATCCCCGGCGGGAGCGGGATGTTCTTGAGCACCCAGGGAAGGTGCTTGACGGTCGGGATCTTGACGGGGTCGAACCACCTGTCCGAAAACGAGCCCTTTTCGAGTTCGTCCCAGGCAAGCGCGCCTTCGTTCTCGCGGAGAATCCAGTGCGCAAGGTCGACCTCGCTCGGGAGGAGGAAGCCGCCTGGGTCAATCTTCTGGGCGCGCATGCGTTCCTCGGTATAGCGGACGCCAGGCGAGAACGGAGGGGGAGAGGTCGGGAGCGGCTTCATGTTTGATAGGATATCGGGCGGGTAGCGGCGGACAATGCGAAATTCCTCGGGCGTAGTCGACGAGATGGGAAAGGTGCGCTTCGCAACCTTCTTGTATTTCGCGCCGAAAACGGAAGTGTCCGTGTCGATAAATGGACACGAGACGAAGCTGAACAGCTCGAGGTCGAAAACCGAGGCGCGGTGCGAAAACTTGATGTCGCTGTCTGGTGTAACATGTTGGGTAAGACAAGGGTACAGAGAGTCGCCGAAGAATGAGAACGTAGAGGGAGAGATAAGCGCGGACGCTGGAGGAGGATGTGCCGGCGGCGGTATCGTGTATAAGGCTTGGCTCGCACACGCAGCATGGTGAGGGAGACGAGAAGTGAGGTGGTGAGAAGAAGATGCCGAAGCGGGTACGGGTGAGACCTGGCAGATATAGCGTTTGATTAGGTTGGCAGGAGTACTGATAAGGGACCCAAAGCGGAATGAGTGAAATCGATCGGGAGAACAGGGACGACAGACGGGTATACAGGGATGCAGAACGTCTCGACGGTATGGCTCCGAGTCATTGACGCTCAGGGAAAACCCTTGCGAGGCGAGTGGCGGGATGGGCGCTCGAGTGTCGGAACTAGAACACGTTCGCCTGTTTCCGGGTGTGTGAGCGTCAGCGTCGACGAGCCGTCAGGTAGGTCCTTTGTTTCGCAAGCTGTGTGGGTAAAGAATGACCGCCCGAGTAATACCTCCCACGGCGCGTCGTCGATGACCTGGACCTGGAGGTAGACTTCCATCCCGCCGATGTTGAAGAGGACGTTGCGGAGACCACCGAGCGTTCGTGTCGTAGTCGAATTAGCTGCGGTGATGCTGATCGCATCGTCGAGAAAAAGAGGCAATCCGGTTGCCGCCCAGACATCCTTACGCATCATGACCCCCTCGGACCCGGAGTCGATAACGCATTCCGCCTCGATCTGGCCTGAGATAAGTGGGCGCAGGACGCGAAGCTTTTGGAGCTGGCGCGCCGATGTGTGATCATGAGTATCGCCGCAGTCGTCGCATTTGAACGCGAGTGACGGCGGCGGGCCGGACGAGAATAGGGCCGTCGCGGAGACATCGCCATCGGTTGGTACCTTGCGTGGGGTGATGCGAGCTGCGAGTTCGCGGCGTGCGGCGTACGAGGCACCGAGGAGCTGGCGGCCAGTAACGTTCGACAGCGGAGCGTCAAGGAAATTGTCGACGAGCTTGTCCATGGCTAGGCCTTCTTCGACCGGCGCGACATTGCGGGTTCCCGGGTGACCGGCGAGGCGGGGAGCCTTCGGTGGGTAGATGATGCGTGGGCCCTGGGATGCGGTAGCGGGAGGACGGGGCCCAGGGGCTGCGGTCGCGGCAGGGATTTGCGCAGGACGCGAGACCGGTGATAGCGAGGGCGAGGCTGGCGCTGCCGAACGGAGAGGCGCGGGGGGCGGTGAAGGCTCACGTTCGGGTGTACTTTCGCGAAACGGCACCGGCGCTGGTCGGTTTCGGACGTCGTCGTTGGCACGTCCTGCATGCTGCTCGTCGGCAAACCGAACCGCGGGCCTGCCTTTACTTGCGCGGGCTGATGTCCGAACCTTCTCGACCCCCTCAGCGACTTTTGCACGACGCTCGCTAAGCTGAGCCTCAAACACTTGGATACGAGGATCGCCAGGGGCGCATGACCGAAGCTGCCCGTGCAGATACTGTTGAATAGGGTCAGTGTCATCTTCTTCAAGCTCGACAATGCGCGCCGAGGATGTCGTTAAAGCCGGCGTAGATTCGAGCAGGAACCCCGAAGCCGTGGTGCCGGCGCAAGGTGCCGAAAACGCGATGAAGTTGCTTGTAATGTGAGGCGGCTGATCGCGCGGTGCTGGGGTGGAGTTGTCGCGTGGGGGAGGAGCTGTCTGACCCGGGTGAGCACGATGCCACTCGTCGACGCGGTCCTTCATGAGCGCATTCGGGTTGCCGCGGCTGCCTGGGATATACGCGCCGCCGGGAAGAACGAGTCGGCCATCCGCGCCGCGCGAGAGCAGTCCGAGTTGAATGTAGCGAGCGACTTCGGGACAGTTCCTGATGAAACAGGGACCACCGCAGAAGTGGCAGTTACCGGTTCCGGCCAAGGGTGCTGGCGCAGCTGATCGAGTGTTGATGGCCGGTGCTGTCGACGATGATCCCGGGATGAGGGTGGCCATGAACGTCGAGAACATCGATTCGAGTGATGCCATGCGTGAGTCGAGGGCTGAAGCTTGCGCCTTGAGGGCCGCCGGGGACTCTTCCTCCTTGACCGAGGTCGCAAAGCCGGACGGCTCGAGGAGCGAAGCGGCACCGCGATGCCCCGAGAGGATGGCGTCCGCCTCCGCAAAGACTTTCTCGCGATCGTACGCAAGCTCGCTGTCATGGTCCGGGAGAGTGAGCGTAAGCCGCATAATCAAAATTTTTCGAAGCTCGCCGGGCGCAAAGGCTTGCAGATATGCTGCGTTGGCCTCGTTGTCTGAGAAGACCTTACCGCCGTGCTTCTCGAGAAGATCGTCGGCGAGGACCTTGAATTGCCGGTTGAATGCACCAAGCTCTGCCCGCGTTGTGATAGGCGAGGCTGCGCGAGCTTTGACAAGCGTATCGAGGTCGCCGCGGGTCGTCTGGCCTTCCATCGCGGAGCCGGGGTAGAGCTTGATGACGTCCGCCTTGAACTCGTCCCACGTCTTCGTCTGGTCCTTGTAGGCTTTGACCGACTTCCAGACTCGGGTCTCGAGGTGCGGGAGGTACCGAAGCGATGCGTTGACCTTATCGCGGTTGTCCGTGACGCCGTGCTCGACGAAGAGCCGTTCGAGCTCGTCGATGTAGCCAGGGAGATCGTTGGGAGTTTTGAAGGTCGGAGCACTCCGATCGTGCCGGGCTGGCATAGGCGTAGCTGCTGCCATAGTAGTCGGGACTAGAAGGGGATTGCTGAGAATAGAGGGGTGTGGCGGAAAGGACGAGTTCTGCGCCGCAGCCTGAAGTTCTTCCTGAAGAGATAGTCGGCGAGAGAGTGTCGGTGTCGGTGAGCTCGACGGTGAAGATAATCGAGAGAGTGTCGGAGATGGTGGCCGCCGAGGGATGAAGCGTCCCCGGCTGTCCCGAGGTCGAGACGTGTTGAAGAATAGATTGGAAAGATCGGCGGCTTGTGAGCTCGAAAACCCTCGCGGTGGGCTCCAGTTGTATGAGGTGCGAAGCCGGTGGGGCTGGGCGACGCGAAGATAGATGTGCGCGAGTCGTCGAGGCGCCGCAGAGGCTGCCGAGATAGTAGATAGTAAGGTAAATAGACAGAGATACGGAACAGAGTTTGATGGATAGGCTTGAAGGCCGGGTGATCGCTACGGTGGTTTCGGTCGGTGTGTTCGGTCGCAGATGGCGGTCAGTTCGTGTATACGCTGGGGTGAGCCTGTGCTAAAAGGTACAGTACACGATGTCAAAGCTAAGATATACCGTCGCTGAGCAGGCCCGTGCGCGACCATCCGCCGCTATGTCCGAACGTCCTCGATCATCTCTCCTCCCGTCCCTGGGCCGTATTGACCCTATCGCCTCCGCGTGCAGTCGTGGTCGAGGCCGAGA